AGTGTTTCGTATGTTATAAAATAAAAACGTTGATGATGTGTATTTTCGCGCCAAAAAATAAACACGTGGATAGTGATTGTTGTCAATTCAATTGTCAGCGAAAATAGGATTTATACGTTAACCTCTAAATTTATTCATAGGTTGATAAATTCTTTAATTTTATGTCAAAATAAAAGTTTATCGTATAAAATGAAACTAAACATTTCACAAAAAAAAGAAACAAAAGTGTTTTATTTGTAAGTGATAGATATTGTAAAAATAGAACCAGCAAACAGCGTGGGCTTGTGGCGCAATGGATAACGCGTCTGACTACGGATCAGAAGATTCCAGGTTCGAATCCTGGCAAGCTCGTACTTTTTAAGTCATGTTTTGTTTATTTCATGTTTGACATTGGTGTTTTTAAAAGTAATTTTTAATGTACAATGATAAGATTTATACCTTCACAAAACTATTTACGAATTATATGTATAGATTTATAATTTTTTCTTAATGGTACTAATTTTCAATTACAATTTATTCTAAAAATGCTGAAAGTGCCCCGTAATTATTCGTCAGGAGGTGTTGAAAAGATGGGACTAGAGAGCCAATTAACCTAAATCAGACCAAATAACTAAAGATTAGTTTTTCTTTATTAATTTATTTATTTGTTAAAGAACGTCTTAATTAGGCCGAGAACCTTTCAGCACCCTTTCATATTTTTCATTTTCGTGAGATACATATCAAAAAAGTTGCAAAATTGTTAAATAAGAAACATGGTGGCAAAAAGATAGAGTTTAAATATGCTCCACTGTCTGCCAGGATTATTTGTAGGAAATTCTGTCGTCCGGTTTTTTTTTTTAATCCTGAACTCTAAATTCCAAACAATAATAATATAGAAATTAAGAAAAAATGGATCTACCTGTAAAATAAAACATTTGTATTTACAAATATATATACATGAATTCGAAAGAGTCAAAAAGCAGTAAAAATAGCCTTCAGTTGAGTTAAAGTCTTTGGGTAGTTGATCCACAGAAAATCTGTAGTCTTTGATCCTCAGCGAATATTCACTGACCGTCCAAGCTGTTGTTGTTGGAGATGATTCATTTGAAGTCACTGACACATGTTTCTTTCGGCATTCGCTGAGGGGAAAGAAAAAACTATTTAGCCACGTCTTCTCTTGTGTTTGAACGGCTTGAAGAGAGTCGAGTCTCTACCCATCAAAGTCGAAATCTGTGGGGTTTTATGAGAATTTTTTTCCCGAAAGTAGGCTCGAGAAAAATAGGGTTTTAGTTTTCTCCGATTGGTCAAATATTTCACATGGTGATGTTAATTTCTAACCAATTGACACTTTGATTAAAACGGTCTGTGTTTTGTCGTGGGATTTTTTTAGCATGTTTGTAAATATTTTCTGTTATTGGGTATAAAATAAAAATTGGGCGTGTTTTAATATGATATATATGTACGTATGTAATCGTGTTGGAAATAGGGTTTATTTCCTTTTTGTGTCTATAAGTCCTTATGAATGGCTGTCTTTAATATTTAAAGGATTTCTTCGTTTAAGGCATTTTAACCATTGATCTGAGAAAACGGTTGCGTACGGATGATAGTTTATAAAAATTATTTATAATAAAAAAAATGATACTAAAATTGTATGAAATACTAATTAACAAAATTAGAAAGTTATTAAAACGGTTTCTTTGGAAAATAACCTGCCAAAATGGAACCTAGCCGTTTATAAAAAATACATGAATAAAAATCACTTAGTCAAAATTTAAAAAAAAAAAAAAAAAAAACTGGCGCGGTTTAATTTTGATAGTTAATTTCGAATTTTTTTAGATAAAAATAAAATAAATTCTGTAAAAATAACTATATCAATAAAGATAAAACGAAAATTTTTCTTTCGTCCTTTACTGTGTCGCCTTTCGTGGACTTTATCAAGGTAAATATACAGATTTTATTTTGCAACAAAAAAATAAAATTCATTAGAGGGCTAAACACGTCGATAAAGAAAAATCTCCCTTTTGTTTTCGAAGGAACATCGCGAAGGAAGTCATGGAACGAGTCTCAATCAGCGCGTTGATAACAGAATGATATTCGGCTAGTCGGAGGTTCATGACTCACAGGAGAGTTGAAAGAGATATCTAGAGACACTACTGCATGATGGGAGTTGCCAAGAGGACAGAGCTGCAGAGTATGACATGAGTCATGGATAGAGGTAAAGAAGAGATCAAATAGAGAAGCGTGTCCGTCGGAATCACTGGGGAAACGCGTGGGAATGTCACAAATTGTCCCACAGATAAATTAAAACACATAAAAAAGGCAAGCAGTAAGTTTAAAGGGACGACAAATAAAAAAGGTCTTACTTGCAATTCCCTAAGAGAAACGCGATACAGTCTTGGTGATATGCCTTGAGTTTCCGATTTAGGATGCATAGAAATTGTGCCAAGGCCTTTGTCTATCCAACCTGTGGTTGGCTAACATATCTGTCTCCGTCGTTGCCTAAACAACAACTGACCATGCTTACCAATGGACTGTTACATTGATACCAGAGGGCTCTTTCAGACATCAGTCAATTCTTTCAATCAAGATAATCGTTTTTTACATCCCTATAACTACTACTATGTCTGAACTCTAGTTACAAATAATGATGTAGACTCGTCTTTTTCTTACCTATCACCCCTAGCAACAGAACAGTCTATATCTTACGCCTACGTACGGAAAACTTCACTCAATAAAAACCGTACTAGGCGAATCAACCAATCTCATTGGTTAAAGACACAATAATCTGAAAGTTCACGTGCAAAAACGAAATTGCGCCAAAACTCCGTGAGCCAATTTCGGACTTTCAGGACTTATAAAAGTAAACGCCGACTGTCCCAAGCAGTCAGTAACGAACACCCACAGAGAAATTGCCAACATACTCCACGTCACTCGAATTCACGATTTTACCGCGCAAAGGTACATCAACGCTGACTCACTCACAATTAAAACTCAACCAACTCTGTGGACATCGATTCTCAAACATTGCTTATCTAAAATGAATTATATTCACTACCTATTAAGTAACATTAATGTGCGAACGACCTTAAAAAGATTACAAACAAAGGTAGATCACTTCTTAAGAACTCCTTCTAAAAAGACACTTAATATTAACAATTTTAATATCAACACAAATCTAAAACGGACTGCAAATGAACGAACGATTCCAAAGAGAGACATTTTGAAATCTAAAACATCATACACATTTTGCCAACATAACATATACCAATTATCCTGCTTGTATAATGTTTTGAATTTTATGTAAATGTTATATTAGTTTCTAATTGTATATGTCTTGTTCTTAATCGTATTTTAATTTTCGTTTATTTATTTGTTATGGATGCAGAAAGTCACGCAACCTACACAAATTCCTTCTGATTCTTTCAAGCATAATTAATAAATTCTGCACACCCCCAACAATGGGATCCAACTCAGGTCACCGCACTTTTTACTTTGAATGTCATAAAGTACAGACCTTGTTCTGATATTAAAACCTTTCGGTGGAAGTATATCTTTTTATTGTTTCGTTACGATATATAGCTTTTTGGTTATGCTTCTATTCACATAAAGTAAATAAATGGCTTGTTCCTGTTAGCTGTGTATCTTAAGCCAAAAAATGGGTCGTTAATGCCCCACCACCACCCCGAGTGTCTTGTGATCACGTGACCATCCATAAAATGGACGAAATACTACCTTCTTTCCCACCCTTTTTTCTGGTCAGCCGCTAGACAGAAGATTTTACCAAGTACGCATGCAAAGCAGCCAACTGCGGCTCTAAGCAAAGCTTAGTTATGACACAAGGCCGAAATGTGGAGTACCCAGTGAGGATCGAATTGACTACTCAGCCGTAATTGATCTGATGAGACAAGCTTGCTAAATATTACACCACGTCGTCAAATTGTCCAAAATTAATTTCTAAGCGTTATAGATGTGGCACAAGGCCAAAAGTGTGGAGCACCCAGTGAGGATCGAATTCATTACTCAGTCGTAATTGATCAAGTGAGACATGATTGCCAACCGTTACACCACATCGAAGATTTTACCAAGTACGCAACCAAAGCAGCCAACCGCGGCTCTAAGCAAAGCTTAGATATGACACAAGGCCGGAATGTGGAGTACCCAGTGAGGATCGAATTGACTACTCAGCCGTAATTGATCTAGTGAGACAAGCTTGCTAAACATTACACCACGTCGTGAAATTGTCAAAAATTAATTTTTAAGCGTTATAGATGTGGCACAAGGCCAAAAATGTGAAGCACCCAGTGAGGATCGAATTCATTACTCAGTCGTAATTGATCAAGTGAGACAAGATTGCCAACCGTTACACCACATCGAAGTGCCCTGATGATTTTCTAGAGCGTTAGATTAAATAAAGTACAAGGCCAAAAGTGTGGAGCACCCAGTTAGAATCGAACTCACTACTCAGCCGTAATTTGTATAGCGAAACAAGCTTGCTAAACATTACGCCACGTTGAATTACCCAAATGAATTTCTAAGCGTAGCTTAGATGTTACACAAGGTTGAAAGTGTTGAGTACCCAGTGTGGACAAAACTCACAAGGAAGAGTTTTCCCATAGCCAGCCACACATAAAGCCCAAAGGTTTGCAAAAATGTGCGCACGATATTTTTATCCTTGACTTAATTTATCTATCCTTGCTCTTTTTCTCCATAAGTAGTAAATTACTGTTGTTCGTTCGACCACAAGAAGGTCGCCAGGGTCTTTTATAAGTAGAAGGTTTACATAACACCACAAGATAAAGAGAAAGAGAAAAGGGGGAGAAGTAGAGAAAAAGAGAGAGTAGTGAACGTGAAAACGAGATGGAAATATAGAGAAAAACAAGAGAGAGAAAACAGTGATAGGAATGAAGATAAAGAGAGGAGGAGAGAGATGAATAGAGAAAGGCAAGGAGAGAATTTGTGAAAGAAAACAAGATCAAAAAAATCCAAATGATACCTTGATACGATGTTTGAAGAAATTTCATTCAATCGTAGCTAAACATGAGACAGTTGTAAAATTTCGAGAAAGCCTCCAGACAGTCAAAAAGGACAAGAATGTCCCGCCTTTCGATTTCATTCGTGGCCAGATCAGACAGTAAATCGCGTAGAATATCGATGTCCTCTTCGGCACACCAGTTGAGCATCGCCCGATAATTCCGGTCGCTTGGACGACTAAAAAGTCCCATGATCCGTCTTGAAAATGGGGCGTGCCGCTCAAAGACATAACCGTGCGGCCGCAAAAAGAGAAAAACTCGTAGAAAACGCTTAAGCATTCGAATTGCCCGTTCTTTGCCCACATCTTTTCCGGGTCCGGCGCTTATGCGCGCTTGACAGTCCATCAGTAACCGATCTAAAAAGTCTTGTACGGAATCCATCATTAAAACTTCGCTGTCATCCTCGGTAACAACCTTCAAGATCCGTCGGTCTAGCTGGTGGCTTAATTCTCCGAAGAGCTTTTCTTTTTCGGTGGCCGACGGTTGACGACTCCACTGGATAAACGCATCCAAGCTATTCGAGAGAATAATCACGTTCTTCTGTTCCCAGCCTCCGTCGTCATTGGCAGTAAGATCGGTGAGAAGGAACTTCAAGTGGTCAGGATCGTGTCGAGCACAAACCCGGGCAACCATGAAGTATTTGCTACTGTTGGGTCGGCCATATTTCGCGAGCATTTGCTGCGAAAATGGCCCGTGGATACTAGCAGAGTAGCCGCACTCTCGGAGCAGGAAAAGAATTTCCATGAGCCGGATGAAGATGATTCGGACACAGCGTTCGCCAAAACGTCGACACGCTGAGTCGTTATCGAGATAGAGGAGGTGCAAGATGGCGACGACATCCTGTATTTCGGTCAGTTCATCGGGAAGACCGGAAATGACGTGGTAGCGGATTCTCTGGTCCAGTTGGTGTGCTATGTCGCCAATCAAGGGTCGCCATTCCTCAAAATAAGCGTTCGACTGGATCGACAATTGTTGATTGTTGTGGTGACTTGTGGATTCTTCCATTGGGGTTTTAACTGGAACAGACAAAATGAACGAAAGAGTATGCCATGTTGACATTTTTATCAGTTTCATAAGCATTACAAGATGACATTGTCCTCATATTATCTCTATCATATACATGAACACTTACATACGGACACACATTCTATCAAAGTATGTTTTATCGTACTCTCGACAAATGTACACACCTTTCATACTTTTAGGTAGGTTTCTTTGTCCCTAACTATCTATCTATGTATTTATCTATCTTAGTGCTCAGTGTGCTTATATCAAAGATTGTTTATTATATCTCTATGAATATGTGTGTGCGTGAGTGTGTGTGTGCGTGAGTGTGTGTGTGCAACAAACTGGAAAGTTTTTTTTGTGATGCGTCACAAAAAACTTTACAGTTTGTCATATTTTTCTAAATACTGTTTGTTGATGTATAAAATTACAGATTATTATCGTTATATACGTTATTTAATAGATAGAATTTAAGTAAATGGTCTGTTTTTTTTTTTTTTTTTGTTTTGTTTTGTTTAAATAAACAGTTTTAATTACATTTACCGGCCACAATGTTCGAGAAATTTCGTAGAAAATATGCGTTCTCCGACAGGAATCGAACCTGTGTCCTATACGATACAAATCAATTGATCCGACATACTATACTACCCAGCTATCGAGAAGTGTCTGGTTAGAATTGTCCAAATTACTGTTTATAAACATCAAATCTTCGACGATCTTTCCTGAACGATCATATCTGCTCATGAAACGTACCTTAACGTAATCATTGACGACATATTATGAAATGAATTAAGTCTGTTCATTATTTCATATATTTTTGTTTATACATTATTTGCTAACCAGACACATAAATAAATTGTATCAATAAAAATAACGTATAAATAGAAAATATATTAAATAATTGCCGGACTTAATTCATTTCATTATATATATATAACAAATGTTCCAAATGTCCTCCGCTTACTTCTACACACGCATGCACCCGTCGGATTAATGTCTGGCTGACCCTCCCAAATACTCCTACACGGTGTCGAATGGTTTCGCATGCCCCCATGACACGTTAATGAAGCATTTCTGCATTATTAATGTCTGCTGCATAAACTAATTGTTTCAGATAGCCCTACAGATAAAAATCGAAAGGACTGGGGTCGGGTGAACGTTCAGGACATGGAACCGGCCCTCTCCTACCTATCCATCTTTCATGATAAATGTCAGCCAGTGTATCGCGAACAATGTGACTAAAATGTGCTGAAACCCATCATGCATGAACCACGTGCGTCTTCGTATTAGCAGGAGTACATCCTCTAGCAGGTTTAGAAGTGTGTTCAAAATAAAGTCTTTGTAACGCAGTTCCTGTAAAACGTGCTGAGAGAATATATAGACTTACCAGACAGTCAACTACAATTCCAGACCATACATTAATGGCAAACTGATGCTGGTGGCTAGCCTGCATTGTACCATGAGGATTTCGATCTGCCTACACCATAAATGATGGTTGTGTAAATTTGTTATTCCATCACTTCCAAATGTCGCTTCATAAACAAGACTGAAGAGACAAACAATGGATTGGCAGTCTGTGCGATAAACCATCAGCAATAGTTCTCCCGTGGTGAGTGATCAGAGCGCGAAAGACCCTGCACACGTTGCAAGTGACACGGATACAGGAGCTGCTCTTGAAGTACCCTCCATATGAGATGTATAACATGTTAGGGTCACTTGATGCGTGCTGATATCCGGATCGTCACCGACAGCCTGTAGAATGTGTTCGTGGTCAGGCGTACAAGAGGATCTCGGTCTTCCTCAATCCATAGTTTGTGGTGCTACGGACCCTGTCTCATTAACGCGACAATAAACAGCAGCAAGGTTTGGATGACTCAGCTTCATTAGGTCTGGAAACGCAATCTGTTACAGCCGTGTAACCTCGCGCCCATTACCATTCGCGCGGCCGTATGTAAAAATCAGATCCGCCTGTCATAGTTAAACGGAAAAATTTTCAGTTAACTCACTGCTGCATACGTTAGATGTTGAAGACAGACTAGCCATAAATGTACACGAATGACAAATATAACCTCGTCTACATGGCAACACAGCGTCATCTGCCATAAGCTGTTTTTTAAAAAAATCTAATAATACAAAAAGAAGGATTTGCGGACATATGTCTATATGGACTTTTGTCCTTGTTTTTCCCCCCAAAACATTGTAAAAGTATTTTATATATATATATATATATATATATATATATATATATATATATATTTATAATTTTATCTCCACACCAAATATATATAAATATATATATATATATATATATATATATATATATATATATATAGCGATATCCCTGAGGAGTGGAAAGAGAGATTCCTAGTAGTAGTTCCGTTTTTGAAACTCTGGAGTCGGAATGCTAAGATAAACAATAATCAGGTCAGTGACAAACATTTTACTTGTATTAATTATATATATATATATATATATATATCGGCAGCATTACTTCATTCAACCATGTTTCATTGAATAATCTAGACATATTACGTCTATTTATTTTATTTTAATCTTAATTTGACCGAATAATTTCATTAGTGCTGTTACAAAACTGAATAAGAAAGACGCCGTAGTTTTGATTATTTCTTATATTTTTATAGGTACTTTCAATCGCATCCAAGATCATATCTTTGAATATATATACATATATATATATATATATATATATATATATATATATATATATATACACATTTTTATGTTTATACGGTAAATGTTTAATACTGTTTATTATAAACAGAGCATTTACTTAAATATTTTATCTATAAAAGAATATATAAACATAAAAATGTCTTAAAATAATTGTTCGGACGTTGTCCATTTTCATAATATATATATATATATATATATATATATATATATATATATATATATATATATATATAGTAATGATACAATATGGTAATCCGTATGGAATTTCCAAGACGATATAGATCCAGGGAGAGCTCTATGCCAAAGGACAGAGCAAAATTATTATTAATTAATGAATATCAAACACTTAAAATCCATAGGTAATAATTTTGATTTCATGAGAGCTCTAAAAAGGAGCTCTCAATCTTCAAGACCTACAAACATCACATTGTGATTTGTTTGTAGGTCTTGAAGATTGAGAGCTTCTGTTTTTAATTAATAATATATATATATATATATATATATATATATATATATATATATATATATAGGGTGTTCCAATAACTTGAACTGATTTTAAATGCGAATTAAGTTTAAGCGTCTAATGTTTTTTTTTCTTTATCTTTCAGATTTAACATAAGTCTTTGGCAATTTCAACTCTTGAAAGATTAACAATCAAACAACGTGTTAAAGTTATCGAAGCCTATTACGAAAATGGACGTTCAAACAGAATTTGGAAGAGAAGTTCCCAGGTCGCATCATCCCTCGAAGCAGCGAAGTCAATTGGCCACCATGATCGTGCGACTTGACGCCTTTAGATTTAACGTCTATGCCAACAAGCCAACAACATAAGTAAAGTAATAAGTACTATATGTTGGCCTGCAGTTGGTGATTAATTTCCAGCTGTGCTGGTCAAACTCTTTGCCTCTGGGAAGAGAGGATCCCCAGATGAGGCTATGTTGGAGGGAAGAATCCTGTCTTGGGAAACAGCTACCCAACGCCATTTATACGGAGTCTACGGGGAATTTTTGCCCAAGCCTACGGGCTCGGATACTCTACAATAAACTCGGCCTTGTGCCACATCTGACCGTGTGAGGCGGTTAGTGAATATCATCTTCCCAGTTTTTTTATCTTTTTTTTGTTTTTTACCGAGTCAGCTTTTGATTTTTCCACACCGCAAATTATTTTTGTCCTTCCCTCACCTTTAGTCTTTAATTTTTTGCCTGTCGGTAGACTACAGCGGCCACTCATATTTTTCTGTGGGGTGGATGTCCTACTAACATATTTTTGTTTTGGTTTGGTCGTTTTTTGAGGTTTTTTTTTTATTTTCGTTATTATGATTACACCTCCCTCATTTCATGATACATAAATTTTATATTTTCGTAAAAAAAATTAAAAAATAATTAAAAAATTAAAATTGTAAGCATCCATAATTTTTTACATCATTGTTTCCTTGTGAATATGTGGTGTTTTGGTAAATGTAGGGTTGTGTGAAGGGGGATGTGTTCTTGTGGTGAATGAGCAAATTGGAATAAATGAATGGGTCGCGAATGAGATTACCTAGGTTTAGGGTAGTCAGTGATGACCAGCCTCACTCCACTTCTCCTTCGGATTTGTGCCAAAACTGTATGTAAAAATACAATAGATATACTCATCTTTCAGATGGAGTAACGTAACTTCATGATAAATATTTCAATATACACATTGTTCAAACACAGTATACACATTGAACAACCTCATTAAAAGAACTATCAATAAAATCCCATCATCCCCCGTAAAAATTTTGAAGAGCTTGGAAGACCAACAGGACTTACGTAAGTTAGCAGAAGGCACGGAGGTTTGGTGAGGACTGATACAAGTTATTTACAAAGTTGTTAAAGATGAGAAATCACACTGATTTGCAAAGTACCTTCAAATCGAAGCAGATCTCATGATGATAATGCCACATCTTTTATCTTTTTTCTTTTCTTTTTTTTGTTGTAAAATCAATCACGTTTCTCATTTGAATTTTAAAGGAAAAAAGTGTAGTTCTCAGAACTCACTTAAAATATTTTTCTTTGATCTTCAAAAGCCTATTTAAAACATTTCTAATGTTTTCTGGTCCTAATATTTGCGAGACAAATTCAAAATATTTCTTTTCTTTTCTTGCTGTTGTTTAGTTTGTTTTTTTTGTTGTTTTTTTTAAGTGAATGATCTGAATACCAAGTCGAAGAAACATGCTATCAAGTATCTACAAGCAAAATAATACTAACTTACTTCTAAAACTTGTGATTCCTAAGCATACCTAAAAAAAACGACAGGAAATATTTGCTTACTGATAACCTTTA